TGTGTGGTGAGTGTGTGGTGGTGAGTGTGTGGTGGTGAGTGTGTGGTGGTGAGTGTGTGGTGAGTGTGTGGCGGTGAGTGTGTGGTGGTGTGTGGTGGTGAGTGTGTGGTGGTGAGTCTGTGGCGGTGAGTGTGTGGTGGCGAGTGTGTGGTAAGTGTGTGGTGGTGAATGTGTGGTGGTGAGTGTGTGGTGGTGAGTGTGTGGTGAGGGTGTGGTGGTGAGTGTGTGGTGAGTGTGTGGTGGCGAGTTCCTGGTGAGTGTGTGGTGGTGAGTGTGTGGTGGTGAGTGTGTGGTGAGTGTGTGGTGGTGAGTATGTGGTGGTGAGTGTGTGGTGAGTGTGTGGTGGTGAGTGTGTGGTGGTGAGTGTGTGGTGAGTGTGTGGTGGTGAGTGTGTGGTGGTGAGTGTGTGGTGAGTGTGTGGTGGTGAGTGTGTGGTGGTGAATGTGTGGTGGTGAGTGTGTGGTGGCGAGTGTGTGGTGGTGAGTGTATGGTGAGTGTGTGGTGAGTGTGTGGTGGTGAGTGTGTGGTGAGTGTGTGGTGGTGAGTGTGTGGTGGTGAATGTGGTGGTGAGTGTAGTGGTAAGTGTAGTGGTGAGTGTGTGGTGAGTGTGTGGTGGTGAGTGTGTGGCGAGTGTGTGGTGGTGAGTGTGTGGTGGTGAATGTGGTGGTGAGTGTAGTGGTGAGTGTAGTGGTGAATGTGTGGTGAGTGTGTGGTGGTGAGTGTGTGGTGAGTGTGTGGTGAGTGTGTGGTGGTGAGTGTATGGTAGCGAGTGTGTGGTGCCGAGTGTGTGGTGAGTGTGTGGTGGTGAGTGTGTGGTGAGTGCGTGGTGGTGAGTGCGTGGTGGTGAGTGTGTGGTGAGTGTGTGGTGGTGAGTGTGTGGTGGTGAGTGTGTGGTGAGTGTGTGGTGGTGAGTGTGTGGTCGTGAGTGTGTGGTGAGTGTGTGGTGGTGAGTGTGTGGTGAGTGTGTGGTGGAGAGTGTGTGGTGAGTGTGTGGTGAGTGTGTGGTGGTGAGTGTGTGGTGAGTATGTGGTGGTGAGTGTGTGGTGAGTGTGTGGTGGTGAGTGTGTGGTGGTGAGTGTGTGGTGAGTGTTGTGGTGAGTGTGTGGTGGTGAGTGTGTGGCGAGTGTGTGGTGGTGAGTGTATGGTGGCGAGTGTGTGGTGGTAAGTGTGTGGTGAGTGTGTAGTGAGTGTGTGGTGAGTGTGTGGTGGTGAGTGTGTGGTGGTGAGTGTGTGGTGAGTGTGTGGTGGTGAGTGTGTGGTGGTGAGTGTGTAGCGAGTGTGTGGTGGTGAGTACGTGGTGGTGAGTGTGTGGTGGTGAGTGTGTGGTGAGTGTGTGGTGGTGAGTGTGTGGTGAGTGTGTGGTGAGTGTGTGGTGGTGAGTGTGTGGTGGTGAGTGTGTGGTGAGTGCATGGTGGTGAGTGCGTGGTGGTGAGTGTGTGGTGAGTGTGTGGTGGTGAGTGTGTGGTGAGTGTGTGGTGGTGATTGTGTGGTCGTGAGTGTGTGGTGAGTGTGTGGTGGTGAGTGTGTGGTGAGTGTGTGGTGAGTGTGTGGCGAGTGTGTGGTGGTGAGTGTATGGTGGCGAGTGTGTGGTGGCGAGTGTGTGGTGGCGAGTGTGTGGTGAGTGTGTGGTGAGTGTGTGGTGAGTGTGTGGTGGTGAGTGTGTGGTGGTGAGTGTGTGGTGGTGAGTGTGTGGTGAGTGTGTGGTGGTGAGTGTGTGGTGGTGAATGTGGTGGTGAGTGTAGTGGTGAGTGTAGTGGTGAATGTGTGGTGAGTGTGTGGTGGTGAGTGTGTGGTGAGTGTGTGGTGAGTGTGTGGTGGTGAGTGTATGGTAGCGAGTGTGTGGTGCCGAGTGTGTGGTGAGTGTGTGGTGGTGAGTGTGTGGTGAGTGTGTGGTGAGTGTGTGGTGGTGAGTGTGTGGTGGTGAGTGTGTGGTGGTGAGTGTGTGGTGAGTGCGTGGTGGTGAGTGCGTGGTGGTGAGTGTGTGGTGAGTGTGTGGTGAGTGTGTGGTGGTGAGTGTGTGGTGGTGAGTGTGTGGTGAGTGTGTGGTGGTGAGTGTGTGGTCGTGAGTGTGTGGTGAGTGTGTGGTGGTGAGTGTGTGGTGAGTGTGTGGTGGAGAGTGTGTGGTGAGTGTGTGGTGAGTGTGTGGTGGTGAGTGTGTGGTGGTGAGTGTGTGGTGAGTATGTGGTGGTGAGTGTGTGGTGAGTGTGTGGTGGTGAGTGTGTGGTGGTGAGTGTGTGGTGAGTGTTGTGGTGAGTGTGTGGTGGTGAGTGTGTGGCGAGTGTGTGGTGGTGAGTGTATGGTGGCGAGTGTGTGGTGGTAAGTGTGTGGTGAGTGTGTGGTGAGTGTGTGGTGAGTGTGTGGTGGTGAGTGTGTGGTGGTGAGTGTGTGGTGAGTGTGTGGTGGTGAGTGTGTGGTGGTGAGTGTGTAGCGAGTGTGTGGTGGTGAGTACGTGGTGGTGAGTGTGTGGTGGTGAGTGTGTGGTGAGTGTGTGGTGGTGAGTGTGTGGTGAGTGTGTGGTGAGTGTGTGGTGGTGAGTGTGTGGTGGTGAGTGTGTGGTGAGTGCATGGTGGTGAGTGCGTGGTGGTGAGTGTGTGGTGAGTGTGTGGTGGTGAGTGTGTGGTGAGTGTGTGGTGGTGAGTGTGTGGTCGTGAGTGTGTGGTGAGTGTGTGGTGGTGAGTGTGTGGTGAGTGTGTGGTGGAGAGTGTGTGGTGAGTGTGTGGCGAGTGTGTGGTGGTGAGTGTATGGTGGCGAGTGTGTGGTGGCGAGTGTGTGGTGAGTGTGTGGTGAGTGTGTGGTGAGTGTGTGGTGGTGAGTGTGTGGTGGTGAGTGTGTGGTGGTGAGTGTGTGATGAGTGTGTGGTGAGTGTGTGGTCGTGAGTGTGTGGTGAGTGTGTGGTGGTGAGTGTGTGGTGAGTGTGTGGTGGAGAGTGTGTGGTGAGTGTGTGGTGGTGAGTGTGTGGTGGTGAGTGTGTGGTGAGTATGTGGTGTTGAGTGTGTGGTGAGTGTGTGGTGGTGAGTGTGTGGTGGTGAGTGTGTGGTGAGTGTGGTGGTGAGTGTGTGGTGGTGAGTGTGTGGCGAGTGTGTGGTGGTGAGTGTATGGTGGCGAGTGTGTGGTGGCGAGTGTGTGGTGAGTGTGTGGTGAGTGTGTGGTGAGTGTGTGGTGGTGAGTGTGTGGTGGTGAGTGTGTGGTGAGTGTGTGGTGGTGAGTGTGTGGTGGTGAGTGTGTAGCGAGTGTGTGGTGATGAGTACGTGGTGGTGAGTGTGTGGTGGTGAGTGTGTGGTGAGTGTGTGGTGGTGAGTGTGTGGTGGTGAATGTGGTGGTGAGTGTAGTGGTGAGTGTAGTGGTGAGTGTGTGGTGAGTGTGTGGTGGTGAGTGTATGGTAGCGAGTGTGTGGTGGCGAGTGTGTGGTGAGTGTGTGGTGGTGAGTGTGTGGTGGTGAGTGTGTGGTGGTGAGTGTGTGGCGAGTGTGTGGTGGTGAGTGCGTGGTGGTGAGTGTGTGGTGAGTGTGTGGTGAGTGTGTGGTGGTGAGTGTGTGGTGGTGAGTGTGTGGTGGTGAGTGTGTGGCGAGTGTGTGGTGGTGAGTGCGTGGTGGTGAGTGTGTGGTGGTGAGTGTGTGGTGAGTGTGTGGTGGTGAGTGTGTGGTGGTGAGTGTGTGGTGAGTGTGTGGTGGTGAATGTGTGGTGGTGAGTGAGTGGTGGTGAGTGTGTGGTGGTGAGTGTGTGGTGAGTGTGTGGTGGTGAGTGTGTGGTGGTGAGTGTGTGGTGAGTGTGTGGTGGTGAGTGTGTGGTGGTGAGTGTGTGGTGGCGAGTGTTGTGGTGTGTGGTGAATGTGGTGGTGAGTGTGTGGTGAGTGTGTGGTGGTGAGTGTGTGGTGGTGAGTGTGTGGTGGCGAGTGTTGTGGTGAGTGTGTGGTGAGTGTGTGGCGAGTGTGTGGTGGTGAGTGTGTGGTGGCGAGTGTGTGGTGAGTGTGTGGTGGTGAGTGTGTGGTGAGTGTGTGGTGGTGAGTGTGTGGTGGTGAGTGTGTGGTGGTGAGTGTGTGGTGAGTGTGTGGTGGTGAGTGTGTGGCGAGTGTGTGGTGGTGAGTGCGTGGTAGTGAGTGTGTGGTGGTGTGTGGTGAGTGTGTGGTGGTGAGTGTGTGGTGGTGAGTGTGTGGTGAGTGTGTGGTGGTGAGTGTGTGGTGGTGAGTGTGTGGTGGTGAGTGTGTGGTGAGTGTGTGGTGGTGAGTGTGTGGTGGTGAGTGTGTGGTGAGTGTGTGGTGGTGAGTGTGTGGTGGTGAGTGTGTGGTAAGTGTGTAGTGGTGAGTGTGTGGTGGCGAGTGTGTGGTGGTGACTGTGTGGTGAGTGTGTGATGGTGAGTGTGTGGTGGTGAGTGTGGTGGTGAGTATGCGGTGGTGAGTGTGTGGTGGTGAGTGTGTGGTGGCGAGTGTGTGGTGAGTGTGTGGTGAGTGTGTGGTGGTGAGTGTGTGGTGGTGAGTGTGTGGTGGTGAGTGTGTGGTGGCGAGTGTGTGGTGAGTGTGTGGTGGTGAGTGTGTGGTGAGTGTTGTGGTGAGTGTGTGGTGGTGAGTGTGTGGCGAGTGTGTGGTGGTGAGTGTATGGTGGCGAGTGTGTGGTGGTAAGTGGGTGGTGAGTGTGTGGTGAGTGTGTGGTGAGTGTGTGGTGGTGAGTGTGGTGGTGAGTGTGGTGGTGAGTGTGGTGGTTGGTGAGTGTGTGGTGGTGAGTGTGTAGCGAGTGTGTGGTGGTGAGTACGTGTGGTGAGTGGTGGTGTGGTGAGGTGTGTGGTGAGGTGTGTGGTGGTGAGTGTGGTGGAGTGAGTGGTGGTGAGTTGGTGGTGGTGGTGAGTGTGTGGTGTGAGTGTGTGGGTGAGTGAGGGTGGTGTGTGAGAGTGGGTGGTGAGTGTGTG